GTGAAAGTCTTTAAAACAGGTAAACACATCATTTTTGTTTCTCATCATGTATAATTAAGTAATATAAGAAAAACATTCAATGAAGTCACAAAATTTTTACATTCATTCATTGAAGTTGTATGACAATGCTCCATACATTGAATGCACCAAATCAAGAATATAAGAACCTATATTACCAGAACTAATGTAGGAGCTTTTGATATGTTTACCAAACTCATAAGCATCACACATATGTTTTTATCTTTTTGCCTTCTCATACAAAGATGAATACAAACGACTCAATAAACTAAATAAAGAGTATTCTATGCGCCTGTGATGTAGTAGCAACACATCCTCCCAGATTCTCTTACTCAAGCATTCTCTACCATGGATGTCAATGTTGAGTCCATTCTCTCTCTATTCAAGAACCAGAGTTCACGATGCCGCATGTTAGCCCCAAGTCTTGGACTAGTCCCTTTCTCTCGAAAGATCACCCTAGTAATATCAAATGAAACAACATATTTTAGTTGAAGTATAATGACACTTACAGATAAAAGATTCACTAGAAAGGAAGGAACATACAAAACATTTGACAAAATTATATAATCGGCACACCTTATTGTACTCTTACAAACCATCGGCTGTGCTGTATCATCGGAGGTCTAAATGCTCTCTTAAACTGTTAGATGAGTATAAGAAGAGAACCCACTAGTGTTACCTGTCACATGTCGATATGTACCATAATTACTATATATTTCGGTGATTTTATGTTATATATCGAGACAAGTGTATATGTATTACTAGTATCTTTGGCTGAGTAAGCATGAGTAGCGGTATTTCCCTTGGATGACGATAACGTGGATGCATCCTCAGTCACGTCGTCTGTCGCTCTCCGTTTCATTTTCAATATCTCCAGAAACTCGTGATCCTTATCGGTAATTAATTGACGTGTGTATGCAATATGGGTACTTTTCATCTTAATTCTACCATTTTTATATGTTTATATTATGCTTTATAGAAGGTTTTGGTGTTGTGTTGCAGGATTCAGGGAAGGAGATCAAACGACTGCAAAATGGAGTTAAGTGGTATTTTGGAGCCTAAGCACCAGATACAAGTCAGTTTGAGCATCAAACAGAGAGTGGAAAGTAGGCTCCCGGAGGTTGGAAAGTAGGTATAAGACTACCATTTCCTAGGAGCTCGAAACAACCAGCAAACCAAGAGCTTACAAAGTAGGTGTCGTGATAGTGTCGCCTAGGCACTGCCCATGACCGCTCAATTCACCCCATATTTTCGTCAGAAAACAGAGAGCACAAAAAGCAGGCGCCGCGCCTACAGTGCCTAAGTGCCACACTGCCAGTGCCGAGGCACCGCGACTGGGTGCCTAGACGCCTTGAAGCCTAGACCAGAAACTGTGTTTAGTTCCTAGAAGCTAGTTTGCGAAAATTGACGGCTTCAATAGTTGAGACACCTCTTCATTAGGAGAAGTATATAGACGATGGACACGAAGGTTGGGGGGGGGGAGTTCCGGACTTTTTCTACATTTTTGAGGAATGAACCTTGAGGAAGATGACAATAGAAGATCTTCTAGAGTGGAGAACTGAGTTTGAGTGTTTAGTGAGACTCATGGTTGTTACCTTCAACACTTGAGGTTGGAGGAAAGGAGAAAAGTATTTTGGAGTTCGTTGTGTGGTTTGATTTCAAATTTTATGTTGGAAACTTCTATACTTGATATATTCTTTCAATTCAAATGTTGATGTTGATGTGCAAAAGAATGAGTAGCGAGTAGTTCCCTAATTCTCTCTTGGATTGGGGATGTTGGTGTGATGTGTGTGAAATTACTTTGAGATTTGCCTTAATTTATTTGGTTATGAATTATCCTTTTGATTTTCATTTACATTGCATACTGGTCATGTGATTTGTTAACATATGTGTGAATTATGAATTTCGGAAGAAATCTTAGTAGAACAACTAGGATAATCACATTAATTATGGGTAATCAGAATATATCCTCTAGGTTAGTGCAAACTTCAAGGGAGAAATTAATTAATGGGGCTCGAAACTGGATTTAGGAAACTAAACTAGATTTCTAGCCAAGCGTCCTTAGGCTACTGAGAGGGGTTAAGGAAGGGGTTTGCTCTCATTTATCACCTTCTTTTATTCATCATTTCACTCTCTAATTCCTACAAAACCAATCCAGGAGGGAACTTCTTAAGCACTTGAAAAACTTTTAACCATCTACTGTCATTAGAATAGGATTTTTTAAACTTGTTATTTTCAGATTAGACATTTTATGATAGTCATCAAAACTTTAAAATTTCAAGCTAGGACCATTAGTAATAAACTAGGACTTTTGTAAATTTGGATTGATCTCATTCCCTGCGTGATCGACACACAAAACTCAATTTCTTATATTACTGATACGCTACATATTCTTGTGTGAGTCGTTTGTGCTTCACCGCATTAGGAGCGTGTCAAGACCACCCGTCTCTTCCTCGTCCTCCACTACCATCAAATTTATCTGGTTACCCTCTCTTCCATCTCGTTGGCCTTTATGAATACAACCACAGCCTCTGGACTATCCACGTCACTTGTCTCTCTCTCTCATTGGGTGGCTTTGGACAAGCCTTGCTTAGATGTCCTACTTCTCAATAGTTGTAGCACCTTCGGGTCTCTCCCTTTGCAACTGTCATAACCGAGCTCGAAGCAACCAAAACATGTCGTGTACCTAAAAGTTCACTCGATTCAGAGTGTGGCCTCATACGACTCTCCTTCTGTATCACAGCGATGACCTCACCCTGTGAAATGATCGATGTCTAGGATAGGAGGATTGATCTTCTCTGATCAAAGCTCAGGTTCGGATGAGTTAGAAACTACATAGTCATTATCTGTGCAATGATATCTTTCTTCTTACTCCCCATATCACCACAACTCAGCATAGATGAGAAGTGATCAAGATCTCATCTCAGTCCCAACTTAAGTTCTCTTCAGTTTTGCCCAGATGTCCTTCACCTTTCAAATGCCAACCATTGATGAGACAATCGATGGAACTGATTTGAGAAGCCATGTGTAAAGTAAGCCATGTGTGGTCCTCCACTCATCTCCCTCAACACTGTCTTCCTCTAGCTTAGGCTCGACTCCCATCAGATATCCCTCTAATCTCTTCTCTACTAGAGCAACCTCGATTCTACTCATCCAACTTAGATACGTGGACGGCTCATCAAGCTTCAAATCCACAAGTGGGAGACCTAGCTCCACCTGCGTCAGAGCGCGTGCTAAGATAGAGGCTCCCGTTGAAACGTTAGCTTCCTGTATGAGCCTGAACAAAAACTTCAGAAGTTCAAGATCTATCTTTCCCAGAAGCTCCAAACCATTACCTCTTGCATTATATCCATCTCTTGTCATCCTCAATCACAAGGTTAGATCACACAGATCACACATGAATTTGATCATGCGTTTGTACGCAATTATCCCAGCTTTGTCTTCCCTGTTAGTTTTGATTGCTACTGCATCCTTCGGATTCATGCTACAATCCCATCGTTGCCTTCAAAGTTAGCTCATCGCAATTCCATGGTTGCCTTCCTGCCTAGCTCTAATTGCAACTGGATCACTAGAGTCGCGCCGCATTTCCGTCATTGTCTTCCCAGTTAGTTCTAATCGCTACTGCTTCGTCAAGACGATGCGTAAGGAAGAGAAAGTGAGAGTTCCGGGTCTCTATACGTTGATCCCAACTCGCATAGAGCGCCAGCTTGGTTTAGCTCTGATATCATAAAGAAATAATTGCTCTTGAAAACTTACCCATTTAATTAATAACTTAGGCTTGTATAGAGCCTTACAACATTTACAAATAAATTTCTAGATTACTTCTATTTATAAATAGGACCTTACATTAGATTATAAATCTCAATAGAGATAGATTGAAGGAATGGTTGCTTTGCCCTTTACTTAGAGAGAAGGCGAGCGTCAGTGTACTGACATAGTGATGTTGGCTGATTTATGCTTCTTTTAGCGCCAAAACGCTTCTACATGTGATACCCATACTTTGTCTGGAACATCTTTTCCTTCCAACTGGCACCACGACGTTGTCTTTTCTGTTTCTGTGCTTATTTTCTGTTCTTATTGGCACCGCCAACGCTTTATAAAATAGCATAAATGGGCTTTAGTGACTTTTCTAAATTTCTTTATTTCTTCTCCTTTAAAAAATTGTTGTAATAAATAAAAAGTTAATGACAATTCTATATCAAATTTTATTATTTTCACTTAAAATTTGTATTAAATTTTTAGCTATTTTGTCCACTCATCTCATTGAACAGTGACAACTTAACTAGGGGTTCGTTTAAAACCTTATGAGTTGCTCATATAGGAGATAAAAGTCATCAGGAAATTGATGCCAAAAGAAAATCTGTAGCAGGTTAGGATGTTAATTGAAGCATTATATGCTATCGAATTCAGACAACAAGCACAATAACATAGGCAAGACGAAGAGTATAAATCCATATATATCAAGAAAAGGCAAAACAACTGCTCTAGGTACAAGAAGAAGCAAACTCAACAACCTTACCTAAGCATAGTTGGACTCCTTGAGGCATCAATAAAGAAAGGTTGGACAAAGCCAAACAAAAGTATAATACATGTAAGACATACTCTCTGCTAATCACGGTCAAGAGGGAAGCTATCATATGTGATAGTGCCGTTGTCATGTGCTAGCAACACATGAAGATGAAAGCGAGGTGCAAATCCGCTCATGGAAGCAATGCACAAATGAAGGGTTGATATTGATTTCTCAAGATGACTCCTAATAGCTGAGCTGGGGAATGATGTTGATGGAGAAGAAACCACTTTTAAAAATTACACTGATTATAGATGTTACATGCTACAATGAAAATGATATATGGGGCATACAATACTTTGTTTGTGTGTGTGATACTATTAAAAATACAAAGGGATATTGCAATCTCATTTAGCTCCAATACATTAGTTGTATTTTAATATCAGATGATTTATTTGTTACTATTATTTGTCAGGTATGCTATTGTTTGTGATTTGCGAAGTTACTCCTCGATTGAACGTCTTAGAAGGTCTTTCTTCTTTTACGGATTCTTTGAATCCTACCGTTTTCTCATTCAATCTAAATTTTTCTCTAATTCTCGCCCTTAAATATCTTCCAAGTTTTGCTCATTGATTTTTCTCGCCTGCAGAATTAAGGGTGTGGGGAACTCAAAGGCAAGTACTATTAAATTTCTGTGCATATTGGTTATTTTTACTTACAAATTGAAACTACAGAGTATTGAAAGGTGGTTATATTGAACCATATTTACGTGTTTTTGTGTGATTTTTCATATATTTTACCAGCCCCTTAGTATCCTGTGTCGTTCTTTACAAGACATCGACACATATACGACAGGCTTCCCTCGGGGTAATGCCTATGGACAGACTAATATCTTCAGAGCTGTCAAACATTGTCTGCCTGGGCCCGTAAGCATAATTTTTTGGAAGATTTCTATACACATCACTTCATTCTTATGTATTTACATATATAACAACTAAACTCTAATTTTTACATATATGTCATCTTACCTTTGCATAAAAAGGTATTTTGCTTTTCAGAAGTTAAAATAGTGATATTTTATGTGACTGAAATGATTTAGGTGGTGTAAATGTAAAAAATAAAATTTTAGGTGTTCATTATGTAAATGCTTAAGAATTGTGTGTTATGTATGTAAAAGCCCCATAATTATTTTCCATTATATTGATTATGACTAGAAATTTTCTCTAAAATGCCTCATCCTTTAACAGTATACCTTTATACTACCTGCTAGTAAAGAATTACCAAAACAATGCATTAGGAGTGGCTCTACTGCTAAATATTCAACAAGAAAGCATGTCGGTGTTCGGATACCCGATGACAACATTTGCCAGACCATATTAAATAAACTTGATGCTCCTTTGATAAGCACAAGGTTTGCGAAATTTCACCAAGCCATGAATTAGTATTGCTATGGAAAATAATTTCTTTAGCTGTGTGAATTTTTATTTGAAGGGATCTTTCTATAGCTGTTATTTCTTTTTTACTTTATTTTATACTAAACCCATTACATACATACCGCCTAATTCCTATGTTTATATATCTAACACCAAAATTTTGTTTGTTACATTTATACCACTCAAATCTTTCATATCACATAAAAAATACCATCATTTTAACCTTAAAAAGTGATATACACATTTTCATGCATTGGTAAGATGGTATGTCCATAAAAATTGAATTTTAGGTGTTAGATATGTAAATACATAGGAATTGAGTGGTATGTATGTAAATCTTCCTTTTATACTAATAATGATCACTGGTATGTGTGATGCCTTAGCGTCAAGTGTCCGGCAGAAAACCAGTGGATGATTAACCCTGTAATGATAGCTGATATTTACGAGCCGGAGGTATGAAGGATCCCATTTTCGATTAGTTATTTTCTTTAATCGTATCTGTTCCAACTTGTAAATTTTTGTAGTTGTTGTTGTTACTGTAACGCTTTGGATTAGTGTGACACAAAGAACAATGGATCTATTGCCAGGAATTTATATTTTCATCCTTATAGATCATTGTGGATAGTGTGCTCAACTCGTAGCTATGTTATTTAGCATCATTTGATGGGCTTTTTTTTTTTTTTTGAAGATTTACATACGTACCACTCAATTTCTTATGTATTTACATGTGTAACATCTAAACTTCAATTTTTACATACATGCACATTACCTATGCATGAAAATGTGCATTTCACTTTTTAGAAGTTAAAATGGGGTTATTTTTTATGTTATTCGAAAGGTTTGGGCGGTTTAAATGTAAACCGCAAAGTTTATGTGTTAGATATGTAAACAAATAGAAATTGAATGGTTTTTATGTAAATGCCCCTTTTTTATTTACTTAAATCTCATATTTTTGCTTTAATTCCGTTTTATGGATCGTCATTTGAACTATTTACATTTTTCTTAATCTGGATATGCTTTAATCCATTTTATTGAACCTATCAGGGTCTGGATTTTCTTGTTGATGGTGGAGTCCGAGTGGCAGATCCTTCCACGGTTGTTGATATGACAAGAATTCCTCCGACAATTATTCGGCTAGGAAAGGTGAGGCCATTTATCTCTATTTCAAACTTTTAGGCGGTATTTGGTAGCATAATTTAAATATGATTTAGCCATGAATTTAGAATAAATCGACCCAGATATTAACGAAAATAAATAAATAAAACCGGTTCGTTAAATCAAATTTTTTTGCATTCCATTTTTTCTTCTGGCATTTCATCTCTTTTACGACGTAAATCCGAATTTAGTCCGATTGTCGTGGATTAAAAATTTCTTCCAACGTCGCTCGCATGTTCATCTCCGTTGCACAAAGTATTTGATTTAATGGATTTGATAAATCCCATTTAACGTAAATTAGGGTTTTGCTAAACACCGTCTTAGCCTGGGAGGATTGGAATTAAATTGCTAATCTAGATACTTATAGACTAATAACTCCCACTCATTTTTCCTTCACTCTTCTTCGATAAGAACCTTGTAAATTTTCCGTAATTCCAATCTTTTAGAATTTTTGTAATTTTCCGGCAGAGAGAGCAGTTGTGGTACAAGATCAAAGTTTTTGACGAGTTTTAAACAGCTTATGTTTAAGGGCATTTCTTTCCAAGTTTATCATCATTCATTAATTTTATGAAAAATTTACATACATACCACTCAATTCCTATGTATTTTTACATACATGCCACCTTACCCATGCTGCTATGTTGCTATGCATGAAAAGGTGAACTTCACTTTTTGCAAGTTAAAATGGTGGTATTTTTTATGTGATATGGACGATTTGGGTGGTATAAATATAAAAGTTAAGGTGTTACATATGTAAATACATAAGAATTGTGCGCTGGCATGTAAATTTCCCTTGATTTTATGGTAATATTTCTACTTTGATTTCTGCATGAGCTCTTTCTTGAATCATGGAAAACTAGAACATACTAAGATAATAATGCGATGTTGAACAAGTTATAAATCTGAATTTTATGGAAGATTCGTGTTCTCATCTCGTGGAGATTTCTTTTGCAGGGCCCAAAGTTGGATTGGATGGAAGTTCAAGGTGAGGATGCTTCAGCACAGGAAGCTCTCCTTCCAATACCAGTTTGAGGTAGTATGTCTACTCGTGCCATATATCTCTTTTTGCGTGCTGCTGGAGTGGAAATTGAAGTTAAAACCAGTCCCATTCTTTTAAATTGATCGTAGTGTTCACAATCATGTAATGCATCATTTACTTTAAAGGGCAGTTACGTGCATATCACACAATTCTTATGTATTTACATACCGCCTAAGCCGCAGCCACCTACTGCCAGCCTCCTCCCTGTAGTCCCCCATGACTCCTACGCCCTGCAGCATCGCATCAACCTGCAGGCCGACACCTTCCAAGATTGCCGCAGCTCTTGTCCTTTCTTCTGAGCCTGCTGCTCTTCTCTACACGGTCATTTGTGTTGTGTTATTTTCTTTCTTTTTTGGTTGAGTTTTCGTTGACACCTATCGTTTGCATGTTTGTGCTCTTTTATGTTTGACGAATCGTCATTGTAATTTTTGAGTTCAGTGATAAAAGTTTTTATTCGGTCGTGATTTGGGTTAATTCCGGTATCACAGCTCGAATAGTTGATCGGTGGTTATGTTGATTTCCTCCTCCAGCCATTGATGCTTTATTCAGTGAGCTTCCATGATAATTTGATAGACAACCAAGCTCGAGTTAGGAAGGATTCGAGCTTAGCTCAACTCATTTACACCCTTACTTAAAATCATTGAACATTAGGGAAAGGTGTTAATGTTGTGCATGCAAGGGATGTCAGATAGTTGCAATTGTCGTTTGGCACATCGGAAATGCTTATAGCATCAAAATGTTCATGCCAGAAAGACTTAATATCCTCTATTCCCCTTCAAAGGTTCAAGATACTTGAAAGTGTTTCAAAAATGAAGAATACCACGAAATACAAGACTTGATTAAAGAAAATATTAGAAGATAATGAGAGTGTTATGTGAAAACAATACAAAAGTGTATAAATTCACACAACAACAATCAAACACAAAATATTTACGTAGTTCGGCGTTAACTTGATTCATTTACATCCACGGGAAGAGAGATTTCACTAACATCGGACGAGAGAAAGAAAATGTTAGGGGTTATAATCCACACTTCTCACCATTCACCCATAAGTCTCTTATAAACCCTGAGTATTTTTTTTTATAGAGAATGATTAGGACATGCAAATAAATAAAGCCAAAAGACTAAATTACTTCTGATTGAAAAAAAATCATAAATACAACAATCTCCACCTCATCTCTTACTTTCAAATAAGTGGATTATTTTGATAAATATTTTAATAAAGTTTCTAAAAATATGATCGATCTTAGTGATCTTAATATCGTTAATAATAATAAAATGCTTCATTTTTACCAAGGGTGGAAAGTCTGTAAGACCTGATGATAACCCAATCGAAGTGTAGAAATATATAGGAGGTTTGAGAGTTTCTTAACTTACTAAACTTCTTAATATTATTTTAAAAACTAAAAAGATGCATAAGGAGTGGAGGAAGAGTATTCTGGTCCCCATTTTTTTTTATAAATGGGATTTACAAGAGTATGCAAAATATGCAAATTATGGAGGAATTAAGTTGATGTGTCATGTTTTAAATTTATGAGAGAGGGTAATTGAAAATAGGGTAAAACGAGTTACAAAGATTTCTCATAATCAATTTGGATTTGTGTCAGGCAAGTCTACTATGAAAGCTATACATTTATTGAGAGGTTTGATGGAGAAGTTTAGAGAGAATAAGGATTTGCATATGCTTTTTTATTGATTTAGAAAAAGCTTACGGTGAAGTTCCAAGAGATATCCTTTGGAGAGTTCTTGAGAAGCATGGTGTTGATATGACTTATATTCAAGTCATTAAAGACATGTATACTAGAGTCGTTACTTGTGTTCGAACAAAAGGAGGATTGACCAAATATTTTTCTATTTCAGTTGGATTACATCAGGGATCGGCTTTAAGCCCTTATCCTTTTGCTTTAATTATGAATGCTCTTACTAGACATTTATAGGAGCTTTTCACTGAGATATCCTTCCCGTGGATAAGACTAGAGAGAGCTCAGGAAAAACTTGAATTATGGATGTCTGCATTGGAGTCCAAAGGCTTTCATTTGAGTAGAACTAAAATTGAATACATGGAATATAATTTTAGTAGTAGTAGCTCTAATGACAGTTGTAACTATCGGTGATCAAATTATTAAAAGGTGTGAACATTTTAGATATCTCATATATATTGTTCAAAGTGATGGCGATTATTAGTAGAATTCAAGTTGGTTGTTTGAAGTGGAGGAATGCGCCTATTGTGTGATAGAAAAGTACCAATTAGACTGAAAGGAAAATTTAATAAGATTGTGCTGAGATTTGCAATGTTCTATGGCGTTGATGTTGCCCTTTAAAAGAGAAGCATAAAACTAAGTTATGTGTTGCCGAGATGAGAATGATTAGGTGGATGAGTGGCTTTACACTTAGAGACAAAATGCATAATGAATATATCTAATGAATATATGAATATATCCGTGATAGGGATGGTGTAGTTGCAGTGGTAGACAAAATTAGAGAGAATCATCTTTGGATGGTTTGGTCATATTAAACGTCAACCATCTGATGATCCGATTAGGACTGTAGATGTTTTAGATTCGACTTATGTTAAGAAATGCAGAGGTAGACCTAGAAAGACTTGGGGCATATTGTATAAAAAATAATCTTAATTTATTAGAATTAAATGAAAATATGACACTCAATAGGTTGCAATGGAGAAAAAAAATTCATGTAGCCGACCCCGCTTAGTGTGATAAATGTTTGTTGTTGTTGTTGTTATTTTAAAATGTACGTTTGTCTTATGTATTTTTTTGTATCTTTTTTATTTGTTGCTTTTAAATGCAAATCAATTTCTTCAAAAATGTTCAATAAAATTTAGATGTTTTATGTTTTTTTAAAGGGTTTAGGGATATATTAAACGTGTCAAATTTCATTTCAAATAAAAAAAAAAATCCTAAATGGGCCCTTTAAATAAATGTATCTCTTGTTTTTTTTTTATTGCACTGCTATAATCAACTCAGTTATAATCAAATGTAAATCCCTATTGTCAACAATCTTCCCTCCTAAACAACTCAGTCGTGAGACCCAATCCTGCTTTGGATTATTTTTTATGTTTAGAATTATCATATGCAAATGTTAATGTTTTTAATAAGAATGCTATTGTTTTGTTGAGGTTGGAGATGTTTTCTTCCGGTGATTTTTATTTTCTTTGCAGGAGGCCTGAATTTGATGGACTTGGAATGCAAAATTATATATTTTTAGAGTTACACATCAAACCTCAGGTATCATAGCGTTCAAACTTTGGCAGGTACTCAAACTATGTCTATCTGTTACGTTGCCATGTACATAGGAAATAGTTAATCAAGGTAAGTTACTTTTTCAGTTGCGAATAATATGTTAATAATTTGCAAGAATTACATACATACCACATTACCAATGCACAAAAAAAGAAAAGCTGGCGTTATTTTTGATGTGATGTGGAAGGATTTGGGTGGTTTAAATGTAAAAAGTAAATTTCAGGTCTTTGATATGTAAATAGATACGGTGGTATGTATGTAAATGAAACATCTTGCACCTTTTTTTTTTCCATAATATCAAATACCTTTTGTTTTAAGGTTTGGTTGGGTAAATTCGTTATATATTCTTTGTAGAGATAAAATTTTCTAACTTTCGCAAATCATAATTGATTGATAAGTTGAGAATCCAATGATGTTAATAATGATGCTTTTAAGGTTATATGACGAACAAAATAAAAAATAAATATATATTCTCTTAAATTAATACTCACCTACTGTGAATGATTTTCTTATATTTTTTTTTCTTGTTATGGTCCACACGCTAACAATTATAAAATAGATCTGTTACAGGTCTATTAGAATAAGGATTAGGAGTAAGTCTGTGATTTTTTTATTAAATTATCATAATTTGTGCAGTTGATTTATTTTGGATGGTTGAGATTGAGTTATTTATTGTTGTTATTTAAATCAGCGTGATGTTTTATTGATCTAATCTTAGCCATTCAAAATGAATCAGATAGTTGAGATTAGGCGACTGCAACTGTACAGATAGTTGTGCTTAAAACAAGCTGCTGTGTTGTTGCATTCACTTGAATTGATTTGTGTATATATAGATTAAGTCAGGTGACATCATATATATATATATATATATAAAGAACATACGCACGACACAATTATTCTGCATTCACTTATTTAGCACTTAATTTTTTTGGAAGATTTGCATGCATATCACTCAACTCCTACGTATTTATATATCGGGTTGTCAAATTGGGTTCACGGGTTAGGTTTGAGTCTGATTTGAAAATAATCGACCTGAAACTATTTGACCCAAAACTACTTGCCCCCTCGAATATTAAATGGCTTAGAAAATCCAACCCTTCTTTAACCTACTAACTTGAAGTTGACCAGTTTGACTCGTTTGATGCTAAACATAACATCTATTCAGGTAAAATTTGGATTTGTTTTAAATCAATCTTGGGTTGATTTCAAGTTTTCAGGTCATTAGAATCAATTGTAGGTTAGCAATTTAATTTTGTGTCAAATTCAGGCTAGCAAGTCTACCCAAACTCGACCCAAAAAATCAAATAGGTTAAATTTCTAAATCAAACCCGACCTAAATAATTTTTGGGTCAACCCATCCAAATTTTTCGAGTCAGATTTGGGTCTAGTTGGTTTAGTTGGCATGCAGGGTCAATTTTTTCTACCCCTATTTATTTATCTAACGCCTAAATTTTAATATTTACATATATATGTAATCTAACTTATATATGAAAGATGTATTTAACTTTTTAAAAATTAGAATTTTGATAGTTTTTATGTGGTATGAATGGTTGGATGATATAAATGTATGCAAAAAATAAAGTTTAGGTATATGTGAATATATAGAAATTGGGCCTAGGTAAATGTGTCTAATTGTTAATATTTACTTATATAACGCACAAGTATGCAACATCTCCACCAATAACAACACTAATGTTTATTCTTTTACGTGATGCATCTTTTTCTGTCAATTATGTACATTATAGTGCTACTTCGGTAAATATCGAAATTTCAAGGGTTATATATGTAAATACATTAGACTGTGTGATAAGGTATGGATGTAAAGCTCTTTCAAATATTAAAATGCTTTTAAATAAAATATTAAATATAGTTGGTTGTCTTGGGCTTTTGATATTTAGACAATACAAGAAGCAAAATGTCTACTTTTTAATGTTCCTGGAAACACTCAACACTCACAAGATACCTAAAAGCCTGCATATGTTCCAAAAACCTTTGACCGGTCATGTGGTCCTCCTTAACCCTAAAAAGATTCTGCAGTACAATATCTTCTCATCGTAAGATTTACATACACGGCACCTAATTTCCATGTATTTGCATATTTAGCCTCTAAATTTAAATTTTTACCTTTTAAAGTTTCCTTGCATGTATTTTTTGATATGATGTGAATGATTTGGAAGGTTAGATATGTAAATAAATAGAAATCGAGTTGTATTTATGTAAATTTTTGACAATTAAATTTGGATATTCTTTATTTAAAAGATCCTCTCTCAATTCCTCCAATAAAATTGTACTTTAAATACAATATTTTTCATATCAAATAAATATGTTTGTCACCTAAATATTAGATGTTTTATTAATAATCTAAAATATTTTATTTTTGTTTGAATAATTAAATTATTGATTGGCATTTTCTTATATTTTAGGTATGGATAGAATGGGTTCTAAAAAAAAAAATTAGGTCAAAAATTTATTATTCTAATTTAATAAAATTTATTTTATAATTAATAAATGGAAAATTTGAATAATAAATTAAATTTTATTTTATATTATCTAAAAGTAGATTTAATGTATTTAAATATTATTTCCTTACAAAGTTTTGGTCAAAAAATTTTTCCCTTCTATTGTAATGGTTATAAAGAACACTCCAAAAATAGGGCATTTACATTCATGCAACATTATTTTTATGTATTTACATATCTAACAGTTATATTTAATACTAACATTTATGATGTTAAAAATTTTCATATCACATAAAAAATATCACTATTATTAATATTTAAAATAGAAAATATAAATGTTAATAAATCATAAAAGTGTTATAAATGTAAAAAAAAAAAAGATTTTTTTTATCAGATATTTAAATGCATCAATATTGTGTCATCTGTATATAAATCTCTATTCAAATATGAAAATTTACATACATACCATACCCCCCAATTCTTATGTATTTACAGATCTAAAACCTGAACTTACTTTTTTGCATTTCTACCACCCAATTCTCTTATATCACATAAATATCACTATTTAAACTTTCAAAAAGTGAAATACACCCTTTCATGCAAAAGTATGGTGGCATAAATGAAAAAAATTGAAAGTTTAGGTGCTGGAAATGTAAAATTCATAAGAATTGAGTGGTTATGTAAAGCTTCAAAAAATTTATTGCATGAATCCTTCATAGAGGAGGAATCCATTTATTCCTCGCACCCTCTTTTTGCCGCTATTTATTTCCACTCTTAAGAAATTATGCCTAAAATGTCTTCTGCTAGACTGGGTAGATCTGAAACTGATTCCCCTTTATAAGGTTTGAATTAAATTCTATGTATCGTTTGGTTTGATAAAATTAAAGGAGCATAAATTAATATACAATAGAAAGAAAATAATCCCTCACTATTTATATGAAGTTGTTTTAGGTTGTGTTTATTTACGGCTGCTGTTTGGTGGCGGCGGTGCGGTGTCACCCCTCTGCTTCTTAGCATGACAAAATTGTGTTTTGTCTGTCTTTTTTTAAAAATTGTGGTAAGAACTGTGTTTTGAAACCTCGTCTGGGTAAGTGTGGTGGCTGCTAGGTTTGCTTTTTTTTAAGAAAAAATTGTAATGACTACTGCTACATTTTGGAACTACAACTTTTCTTTTGTAGTAGTTTTATAGTTGTTTCTTTAAATAGCTGCAACTGCCTAAAACAAATTATTACTCTCAGTTTATAAAAAGTATCGAAATAGTCTTTCACTAATTTAGTATTAAGCTCTAATCATCTTCTATCGAGATTAATTAAGCTTCAATTTAAATATTATATGGAGAATGTTGACACTTCTGTGATCTCTGGGATTAATATGGCCTCATGTAAATATCAGGGATTATTTTGATACTTTATTTTTCTTATATATTTATAGCAATTATTTTCTTAGTGTGGCATTAAAATGGAATTATGAAGAAAAATTAAATAAATAATTATTTTATACATTGTAATAAATTCCTTCAAATATAGACGGATCCAATAAATTTGTGATCAAAGCCGTGCAATCTTCATGTGCAATGATGATGAAAGGTTGCATCATATGAAGACTTTGTCCCCCCAACTTTTTCAATTTATTGCTTTAATTCAAAGCTTATAAATAATTTTCTTACAATCATTAAACCGAAAAACCTAAACATTTTTTCATTTATTAAGAATAAATTAATCTTGAAATAATTAAGAGAAAAATAAGATCTTTGAGTCATTGGAAAAAAAAAATTATGTTAGATTTCAAAATTATTTTCAGTATTATTGAGATGGGTATGCAATATAAAATTAATTAATTTAAAATTAATTAAATTTATATTAAGGGAGTGTATGGTAGCCCCCTATTAGTAAGATTTATGGTCAAGATTTACTAAATCTAGTCAAACACAATAAATATAACAAAAGGGCGGATTTAACGGATCCTAATTTACTAGACACCCCTAAAATTTATTTCAAACTTAATTATGTAATTTTAAAATTTATTGAAATTTTGGATTATTGGGGCTAAAGGACGGTAATGACATGATTGCACACTTGCACTATGCATAAATGGAATATTTGGACATTTATGCAAAAAAAAAAGTTTTGCATGATTAGATATATTTATTTATTTTTTATATATTGAAAGAGAGAAAAATATTGCATCAGAACTCATAACGTAGAGCTACGCTCGGATTGGAATAACCAGCCGTATTATATGAATATTCCGTCTGCGTTATTGTAAAAATTGAAGTGTTATTAGAGTATTATATGTTATTATTCGATCATTTTGCAGTGTTATTGGAATATTCCCCCATGTTACTTGATTTTGGGCTGTGTTATTTGACATATATTTCAATTATGTTATTGGAATGACACAGCCCCAAATAAAGTAACACGTGGGAATATTCCAATAACACTTCAGTCCCGAATCAAGTAACACAAGGGATATT